GATCTGCTATGAAATTGCTCCAAGTGACTTTCCTGATTTGTTCCAGTCAGTGTTTACTTTTTCAGAGCTGTGCTGAGCTCCTCAGACTTTCACACTGTGGTGTTTCTAGCTGAGTCTAATTAGTGTATTTAAATTGGTTCAAAGGCGTCACCGGATATCATCAATCATAATCAGTCACAAGATGTTAAAAGAAAAAAAAAAGATGAACACAGCTTTCTACATCACCAAAAGTGATCATTTGTATATTTTTGACCAAGAAGATTTTGTCATATTTCCAGAAGACTTATAATAAATCTATGAAAAAAAAACAAAATGCATGACTGGTTTTTGTGACAAAGACATTAGAGTTATAGGAGGCACCGAAAACTTAAGGCTGCTGCGATAAATATGGTCTTTATAAGTGTATGGAAACTTTTGTTCAGAACTGGAATACGAAGCAAGTCCAACATACCCAAGATATCTTTTCATTCTACAGTTTGAAAAAGTAGTCCTCCAAAGCTGCTCATCAACCCCGAAAGTCAACCGAGGGTTTCTGAACCTGGCTATGAGCATGTTCGCATTAAAGAGGCACCAGGTGACCAATCACAGACGTACACAGGTCTACTGGCATCAGAGCTGCATATTTTACAAACAAAGGACAAACTATAATATTAGAGTCATAGAAAGATTTTAAATGCTGACTAAAAGTAGCACCGCTGCAGCAACCAAAGCTGGAGATAAAGCTGCAAGAACATGCATGGCGGGTGAATGCAGAATTGATTTGCTTTTCAGTATCGTGTGTAAGTTGGTTAGACGTAGGTTTCTTTTTTAAGATTCAAAATTCAGTTTTCAGTTATCACCATGCATCACAAGAATGTATAGCAAAATTACAAATAATGTCCTTTTATGCTTCTCGTGAAAAAGACAAACTATTTAATAACTTAATAAAAATGAATAAATGAAATGAATAACTAATCAAGTTAAAGAAAAAAGATAATGTCATTGTGGCATGGAGGATGATTTTAGTGATGGGAAGTTCACCGGCTCCTGAGGCACGACTCCCAAAGAAGAGTCGGCTCTTTGGACTCCCAGACGGCTCTTCATTTATTATCATGGACATGGATGCAGCGCCCCCTTCAGGAGACAGCGACGATGAACATCTAGTGTCTTATCCCAGACGTGCATCCTGCAAAACTTGCTGATTGAACAATCTTGAAAAAATGCTTTCTCATCTGGCCTGTGCTACTGTGCATGTACAGCAACATGACAATAAACTTGATTTGATTTGAATTAGATTTGATCATCTGTCGCCTCATATTTTAGCCTAACTTGGCAAATAGGAATGCTTTGTATGTTGATAAACCCTTTTGAATTTAGTGTTTTTACGAGAAGCCTTATAATGGCCTAATTTTGTGTATTTTTACATTACAAAAGCAGACATTCTTACTTTTGTTTAATATTTTAATCAAACTTTTAATGTTAATTCAACATGAAAACAAATGAACAAAACACTGCAAACAAACCCACAGAACAGAACCAGAACAGAAACAGAACAAAACTCCGTTCAAACACCAAACAGTATGTCCTTAGTGCAGGTTTGCATTCAAAAAAATTCAGCGTCTCAGCTTGTCTGGGCTGATGTGGTTCCTCCTCTGGGTTATTATCTGCCCTGTTTTTGAGAAGACTCTCTCAGAGGGAGCAGATGTTGTCTCCCCTCCATCACCTTCACCAGGTGGGGGAAGACTGAGGCCCTGGTCTGCCACCAGCTCAGTGTGTCTTCTGCTCTTTGGATGAGGGGCTCCTCAAGATAGCATCGCATCTCCATTATAACATCAGCTTTGGCACTAAATCCTCACATGTGATTGGCCACAAGGCCGCCATGCTGCCAATCAAAACAAAGTTCTGCCATGAGCTGAGCTGATCAACTGAGCAGCAAAAAAACAGAAAAAAACCAAAAGTCAGGAGCTGGCTCTCACTTGATGGGAGTTGACTCTTCTGATTCACTGTAAAGCATCCGCATGACACATCACTGGATGATTTCAGTAATCTCACATTAGGTCTCATTATGGCATGTGTCATATTTAGTCTTACTCTGTCAGCTGCTTGGTGGTGTGAAAATTAAATGTCTGGGAAATCCCTTGAAGCTCTGAAGACTCGTATCTTTCCCTCTCACTATCTGTGCACTGAGCTCAGCTGGATCTTCAGGTGATGCTGATGCCCTTTTCCAAGTGAACTGATGCGTTGATCTCTTGTTTGGAATATACCAGTTTCAGAGAAAAAGAAAAACTCAGCAAACACGGCTCAGAGGACGGAACGGGAAGGTTAGCATAGCTTCAGCACGACACTTGAACATGAAGAAGAAAAGGAAAAAAATATTCCAAAACCGAGCCCTGGGGCACGCCATACTTGACAAAAGAAAATTATGATATGTAGTTGCAGACAGAGACAGTGAAGCCCTTACGTCATGTAGATCATAGCCAGTGGCTACATGTACAGTAAACCAGAAGTTCACAGACACTGCATGAAAACACATATAACCCTTTTTTCTCTCACTATCTGACATTAAATCAGACTAAACTTTTCCTGTTTTAGGTCAGGTAGGATTACCAACATTATTTCTATTTGCTAAATGCCAGAATGATGAGAGAGAGATTTTTTTATTACTTTCTTCGAAGTCAGACGTTTACATCCATTTCTTTAGTATTTGGTAGCGTTGTCTTTAAACTCTATGACTTGGGTCAAACGTTCTAGGTTTCCTTCCACAAGCTTCTCATCATAGTCTGATGAGTTCTGGCCCATTCCTCCTGACAGAACTGGTGGAACTGGATCAGGCTTGTTGGTCTCCTTGCTCCACTAATGTTCTCCAGGATGGAGATCAGGGCTTTGTGATGGCCACTCCACAACACTGACTCTGTTGTCCTGAAGCCTCTCTGTAGCTAATCTGGTGCTATGCTGAGGGTCATTGTCCATCTGAAGACCCATTAGTGTCCAAGCTTTAACATCCTGGCTGATGTCTGGAGATGTTGCTTCAGTATCTCCACATGATGTTCTTTCCTCATGATGCCATCTATTGTGTGAAGTGCACCAGTCCCTCCACAGCATGATGCTGCCACCCCCGTGCTTCACAGCTGGGATGGTGTTCTCAGGCTTCAAGCTTCCCCCTTTATCCTCCAGATGTACCGATGGTCATTAAGGTCAAACAGTTTTAGTTCTATCTGACCACAGGACATGTCTCCACTGATGAAGCTCTTTGTCCCTGTGTGCATCTACAAACTGTAATCTGTCTTTTTGATGTTCCTTCTGGAGTGATGTCTTCTTCTTCTCTGAGCAGCCTTCCAGCCCATGTCGGTCCAGGACTGGTTCCACTGTGGATAATGACTCTCTGACCAGCTTCAGCAGCATCTTCACAAGGTCTTTAGCTTCTGTTCTGGTGTTGATTTGCACATTTCCACCAGAACACTTCATCTCTGGGACACAGAACCGTCTCCTTCCTGAGTGCTATGATGGCTGGACATTCCCATGGTGGTTATACTTGATAGAACTGTTTAAACAGATGAACGTGGAACCTTCAGGCATCTGGAAATTGTACCCAAGGATGAACCAGACTTGTGGAGGTCCACAGTTCTCTTCCTGATATCTTGGCTGATTTCTTTAGATGTTCCACGTTGTCACAAAAGGAAGCAGCGTGTTTGAGGTGTGCCTCCAATTAACTCAGATGTTGTCAATTAACCAATCAAGAGCTTCCAAAGCCATGACATCATCATCTGGGCTTTCCCAAATAGATTGAAGGCATCTTAGTGGATGTAAACTTCTGACTCTGAAGGAAAAGTTTTTATGTCTTTTTATACAGTGGATGCAAACTTCTGGTTTCAACTGTATAGATACAGTGCTTAACAAATAAGACAGGTGGTCGAATAAGTTTGTTAAGTACTGCATATATACGTCTTCTAAACACTGTTGTAATGTTTTAGCACACTGAAGGTACCTGAAGTCAAATTCCTAACATAGTCAGCCAATAACAATAAAGTCACAACAAGTATAATCTGGACGAGGCCTTTCTGTTGTTTAGTACAGTCAGGAGGAACAATCTTTAGCGGCTGGTCAGAGTCTGTCACAGATGGTATGCCACCTACAATGCCTTAGTCGAGGATTACATTAAGAGACAGAAGCACTTGAGACAATTTAAAGCCACAGGAGGGCTGTGGCAAGTTTTCTAAGGTGCTTGAAACAACCTGCATGCCAAGTACCTTGGAAACAACTCATTATGGTATTATTCTCAAGTGTTAGAGATTTTAGTTTTGGGAAATTCTGATTATCAATAGACAGTGGCTCGAACAGCACTATGCAATATACTTCACTTTACCATTTAGAATTGATAAAAGAATTAAATCACTATTGCTAACCCCTACTCCTACGATATTCTTTCAAACTCTGAAGAAGTGCTCCTGAACTGACCTCTCATTCAGTAAAGTCTGTCCTGCACATTTATCTGTAATGCTTGTAGTGTTACTCGTGTTAATTGTTTACCTCTTAATCATTAAAAAAAGAAGAGAAAGGTCACATCAAAATCCCAGTGCAGTGTGTTTTTGAATGCAAAATAAGGAAACAGCAACCAGTGAATCTTTTCATGCATGCATTTAATATATTTTTCTACACTTTTTTTTGTTTTATAAAATATTTACAGAATATTATGACAGAAGCTAACAAATATGCAAACCTCTCCATGTCATAAATATACAAAGGTGATTCGCACCCACTCATCCATCCAAACATTTCACAAGCAATTGCGAAACACATACAGGCTGTGTTTCATTTTGGAGTCCAGTTTTTATGCCAGACACACACAACAATTAAGAATGTGTACAGTAAAACGTTGTCACTGGCCGTATGCCAAGATTAATGTCCATTGGTTGAACAACAGATGAGCGTGTAGCCATTTGCTTATTTCCATGTCGGGACAGCCGTTCAGAATCAGGAGGACATCAGGTAGGAGGGTGTCTGGGGTTGTGGAGTTATGATTCTTAGGACACGGAGGAGACTTCTGTCTTGCTGGTAGATACTGAGGTCTCATCCTCCACCATGCCGCCCATTCCAATAGTGCTCAGCATGCAGTTACGGAACTGGAAGGGAGGACAAACACCAGATGTCAACATTGGGCTTATCTCACAGGAAGACAACCTGATTAGGAGATCATGCTAAAGCAAATGAAAAATCACCATATTATTCACATATTGAGTTAAAAGTTTTTCTGTCTAATTCTTTGTGGATCTCCAAATCAATGCATACATGAGCAAAAATGTGAAACATCTGGCTCATCTGCTCTGCTCAGCTGCTATTTACTGATCACCATAGAAAGTGTTAGACAAATAAAAGACATTCTTCTCTGTTCATAGCCACATCACAGTGTGTTGCAGCTGCTGATTTCACTTTCAGTTAATCAAAAACACTTCTCAAATAAAGCATTTTCCTTCCAATTAATGTCACCTATTTCTGTTTCTTTTCAAAGTGAGAACTAATGCTCTCCGTTCATAACTGCTGACGCCACGGCTGAGATCGGGGTTTGCGACAGGATAATAATACACTGACCTGTTTGTTCATCAGAATGTAGATAATGGGATTGAACAAAGCTGAGCTCTTTGAGAAGAAAGCAGGGACGGCCATGGAGATGGCTGAGAAGGCAGCTCCCTTGTTGAAAAAGATCCATGCGGCAAAGCTGGCATATGGGGTCCAGGCAAAGAGGAAGCCCATCACCATCAGGATGCACATACGTGTCACTTCCTTCTCAGCCTTCTGGGTGGATGCAGAGTCCTGCTGCTGGGCTGCAGCCTGAAAATGAGACCATCGTCTGTTAATGGCTGAGTTGTGCTACGACAGCATGAGTAAACAGTGTAGGAGGAACCTAAACTGCACTTACGGCTTTGACTGTCAGCACAAGGCTGCCATAGGTGAAGAAAATGAGGAAGACTGGAACACAGAAGTGGCAGCTGAACATGTACATCACATAGGATTCGTTGTTGTAGCCTGGAGCCAGAGTGTAGTAGTCAGGTCCGCATGAGACCTGGATACCCTCAGGGATGTACCTGTGAACACAAGACATACAGCGTTAAGAGCTAAAGTTAATCTGTGAGTCTGCATTGGTTCTTCATATGTGTGAAGTTGAATGGTTGTCTGTCTCCCTGTGGGAGCTGCTGGGATGTCTGCTAAATACAAGAAAGGTTTTGTAGAGGTGCTTTGGTTGAAGCAAAAGATATCATGTTGAAGGGAGACATCCATCTCTATCCTGTTTGCAAAGGCTAAAAGGATTTTAAGGTTGCCTGCAAATCTTTCATAATGTTCTCAAAAAATAAAACAGGCTGTAAACGTTTAAATCAACTCAGCAGCACAAGCCTCGATTAAACCCCAGAGCAAACCAATAGACGTTCTCTGGTACTGCTTCAGCTGTCAGAAGAACATGTATTTTGTTCTCAAGAGGATTCAAGTCATGTGTCAGCTTGGTAAAGATGCTTCTTTAAACATCATCGGAGAGTAGCTCAGCTTTTTTCCTGTTTTACGCTCTGACTCTCCTTTAACACTTGAAAATTGGCATCTGAAGAATGACTTGCAGAAGGATGTTTCACTGAGTAAACGCCATGAACTGACAAGCTGTACGAAACATGAAGCTGAACTATTTTAACTCCGTCCATTATCTGTACACCGCTTAATCCTCCCTAGGGTCGCGGGGGAGCCCATCCCAGCCCACACAGGGCGACGGCAGGGGGACACCTGAGCAGATGGCCGATCTGTCGCAGGGCTACACTGAGAGACAACCAAGCACATTCACGTCTACGGACAATTTAGAATCACTAGTTAACCTCAGCATGTGTTTGGGCTGTGGGAGGAAGATCCTGGGAGAACTCAGAAAGATCCCAGGCATCCTCACCGGTGCTAACAACTGAGCCACCATGCAGCCCCTATTTTAGCTAAATAAATGATCTATCTAAAATAAAAAATTCAATCTGAGCACACCCAGGCTATGGATCATTATCATCCATTGCATTTGACAGCATGCCTGCATGGTGCAGATAATATATTTAACCTGTGTTGTAAATCTCAGTAATGCTGGAGATATGGGGAGATGCTAGCCCATGCCCCAGATGTGGAGAGGATCGTGTCGAGGAATTACCTGGACCAGCCGAACAGAGGGGGAACGGCACAGGCACAAGCCATCATCCAGGTGAAGCCGCAGCCTATCGCAGAGTGGGTGGCTGTGAATTTGAAGCTGCCCATGGGTTTACAGACCACGATGTATCGCTCAACGGCAAGAACCACGAGAGACCACAGAGACACTTGACCTGTTGAAAGAAGCAGAGCACAAGTTGTGATGAGAACCTTCAGGTCCTGTTACAACAGAGCTGATTCACGTTTACAGCCTCAGACAAGCAGTGCAGTGTTTGTGCTGAAGTTTACCTCCGAGTGTGGCCATGAATCCCTCGATAGTGCAGGCCATGGGTCCCATGGAGAAATAGCCGTTGAGGCAAGAGTAAATGGTAACTGTGAATCCAAAGACGACCATGATGAGTCCAGCCACAGCCAAGTTAACCAGGATAAAGTTGAGAGGCTGTCGGAGCTTCTTGTTCTGCGCCGTGACCAGCAGTGTCAGGAAGTTGATGGGGAATCCAGTGCAGATCAGGAAAAACATGTACAAGGCCAAAAGTTTGAATTGCCATGGATCTGCCAGGTAGTACTGTGAATATTCGAAAGGACTCCTGACAAGCCCCGTCCTGTTGTTCATGGGGATGTAGAAGTTCTTGCCTTCTGTGCCGTTCTCCATCTTCTCAAGTTAGGATTGGACTGGCTAGAGCAGGATAATCTGGGAGGACTGTCAAGGCAGCAGTGTCTGCACTCCTACTTCTGACGTCTGACTCAGTAGCGATGGTTTTATAGCCCCCAAGGGCAGTATAAGACGATGAGCTAAGAGGATCGGGGAAATCAGCCCATAATCTCATGGCATAATCACTTGTTACTCTGTGATCTTTTTCTTTTCTTTTTTTTTTTTTTTTAGTTTTTTAGGACATGTTTACTAATTAATGGCCCAGAATCGTGAAGGTCACGTAACAGTAGAGAGAGAGAGACGGAAAGACGGTGCCACTTGTTTCCTCTTTGGTTTTTCCGTCTTGAACTTTTCCTCAAGGTAAAACTTTCACTAAACGCTTGTTCTGCTGTTTAAAGTGATAAAACTGCACAAGCTTTTTTCTCCCTCATGATACAGATTCCTACCTGTCAGCAAGAGATCTCCTTTTTCCAGTTAAATGCACTCCAAAAGTGATGTGTGTGAACAATTCAGAATGAAAAAAGCACTTTTAATTTAACGGCTCATGAAAAGTGTCTGTTTTAAGTACATCTCTGTCTGTCTAGTTGGGATGCAGCTAACATTTTCTTTATCTCTGTCAGTTACAAATGCACCACAGGATTGTGAAAATAAACAAGATGCTAAAATAAAAAAGTACTTTTATGTAGTTTTTGATTGTTTAAAAGTACAACGCTGTTTTTACAGCTACCGGTGGGTGATGTGAAATTATAAAACTCAATCAAAATGTTATATCTTTAATTCTGTCTCAACTTGTTGCACATTTTCTCAGGGAGCAGCACCAGGCAACAGTGCGATATGATAATGTTTTAATAGGGGAACCTGCAACCTTTCTCAGGTGATGCTTTGCTTGTGTTTTTAAACTGCACATTGGGCTGAGGATGTGCCCTCTTTTCACATCCTCAGAGAATGATTGGGTCATTAGTCCCCCTCGTCATGTCAAACCATTTTCAGGGACAAAGAGACGAGACAAAAATAAGAAGACAACTCTGAAATGTTTTCTGCAGCTTCTCTTGCTGTCTTCTTGTGTGCTGCACGGCCATTTACACGCCCTTGCTTCTGATGAAAACACGATCAACAGTCATTCCTGTTTATTAACAACACTACTAATTGAACTTTGGTCACCGTCAGGAGGAAGCAACTCATTCACATTGACATAAACCACTTACAGAAGCGTAAAGCCTCCATCATCACTGTACAGGTCTCAACCCAGAAAGTCATTAGAGTCCATATGAGATGCTTTTGAAGACATACTTCTAACATGTTTAGAACAAACTTATTTTTAGCTTCGAAAAAAGCATCGTGAGAGCTTCTTCTTTACTGCTGAAGCCGTGCGTCTTCTAACAAGTGCTGTGTCACTGAGAATCATTGCCCCCTCAGAAAAACACTTTTGGGGTAGAAGTATTCAAAGCTGCTGCAAATGACAGACGGAGCGATATATGCTTAGGTTATAGGTTATAGTATTTTGCAGAAATGCTATAGTGACAAGTAGATTTACCTTAGCTTAGTTTAATACTCTTAAAGTCTGCAAGTGTTAGTCTAACGAGCAGCTTTTACTCTCCCCTGCTGTAAGCCTGGATTGTTCAATGTACTGTTCTATTGTGTGTCAGAAAGTCTTTGAGGTTTAGTTTTGCAGCGTTGCAAGGAACGCACAACATAATGCATGTTGCAGATGAGTGCTCGCTCAGCAAATTAATCTGAAGTTTAATAGAGACCCTGTCGTTTGATTCGAGGACTTTTTCTTTGATGAAGCAGTCCAGAGTGATTGAAGTGCCTAAGCACAGCTACAAAAGGTTGGATAAGACTGTACGAGTGAATATTGTCCTGCAAGGTTGAGCGTTTTGTTAGTGAACATGTTACTCATGTGTTCTTTGCAACTTGTCAGATATGTTCATAGAAATTTCTTTATAACTGCATCTGCTGTGTTTTGCATATAGACAAATGGTTCCAGAGCCTTTGTTTTCCTTTATTTGGAAAGTCTGTTTCCCTCTGCATCGATATCGCCTCGCTCAAACATTTAACCGAAATTTAACACAAAAAGAACTTAGAAAAATGAGAAAGAAATGCCTGAAAAGATTTTGTGCACCTACAAACTAAAATAAAATAAAAGCATTGATGAAATGTCTTAATCTTTGTCAGATTTGTGAACACAACAAGCACGTGGAAGCACTGGTGCATTAGTTTATTGATAACTATGATATCTAAAAAAACTACAATGACTCTGCAGACTCACTGGTCCTAAATTTATCCTCAGTAAAAAGCAGAACATGGAGTCCTGCAGCAGATGGCATTGCCCCCTCAGAGCTCTGAATATCATGGGGTCAGTGTGGGATTACATGAAGATAAAAAAGACAGCGAGACTGTTTAAATCCACGGAGGAAGTGTGACCAGTTCTCCAAGAGGCGGAAACAACCTACATGCCAAGTGTCTTAAAAAACCTTGGACGAGCGTACCTTGAAGAAGCGGTGCTGTTTTTGCTGCACCAGATGACATAAACACAGTTCATGTGTGCTTTTTGTTGCCCTGCATACTCTTTTTTTTTTTTTTTTTACTGAAGTTAAAGCGGTGGTGCTGGAAAATAAGCAATTTTATTTTTTTCTGTTTGTTCAAACCCTTTAATCATATATTGAGCTGCTGTGAACCCTGCAGCGTTTCAGTACTGTGTCTTCAGAGGCTCAACGGCTCTAATTCCAGTTTGCAAACACACAGCACAAAGTCACCACAAACTTAATCTACGCTGGTTTAATTAACAGCACACATATACTTCAAAGCGAGTTGGTGAAAACTGTAAACTAACTGGTCTGGTTGCATATTTGGGTTTGAAATTCAAGTGCATTGACTCCTTTGCCTGATAATGCGGCTCATGTTCTTATTTAATTAGACAAGCCGGGAACCTATTACCTCATTATTGTTGGTCTGTACCTCACATCGGTTGACCTTTAAACCAATTGCTGCAGTTAAACTGAGTCACTAGAGTCTCGGTTGAATGCGCTGTCGTCTTAATTAACAAACGACGGCAAATTTAATTAATGTCAACATACAGGGGCTTCTGATTTGGCTCTTCTTTCTTTTACTAATTTACTAAATTTAATTACTAATTCCGAGGGAAATTCAAAATGGTAAAACGTGGAGAGCTGAGTGGCATTAAAGCCATTAAAGTTGGAATATTTTTTGTTTTCAGACACATTCCTACATTTTTATTCCTATTTAAACACATCAGTATTCACCTTGAACAGGTGCAATGATTACATGCTGAGTCCCAGTTGCCAGGTGAAACCAGTTCTGGCTTCAGGATCTGACCGAAGAGTGGGACGTCCTGCCCATTGACACCATCAACCAGCTGGTGGACGCTACGATGTCTTTACGCATTGATCCATGTCAGGGGTGGCCAGACTCAATACTAGCGACTGAGGAACATTTAAAGAGTAGTATTGGACATTCTAGTGCATGAAATCCTCTCAAATATGTGTTAAAGTGACCAAACAATTGAAACCCTTAATCCTATTGTCCATACCCCCATTTTAGTTTAAGCCTGAATACACAGTTTGCAAAAGTTAATTGTGGTGGTCGTTCATCCCAAAAGATTCTGTGCATTTTTAGTATGAGCCAGAATCCCTGAAGTGGCTGCTCCTCTTATGATACATGAGCTGAAATCAACACGAGAAACCCGACAAGAGGGGTTAAAGGTGACACTTGAAAAGCTTGTTGACTTCTTGTCATTTCCCGCTTCAGTCAGCCTGACGAGTGTGTGTGTCGGTGTGAAGCTCCGTAACGTTTACTGTGATGTGTGTTGTATGTGTACTGCGATGCTAATAAAATTTTGAGGAGATACACACTTTATCTATCAAGAATAAATCGTATTATCACAACCATTTAAGGTTAAAACAATATTTTATTCCAGCCTTATGGGCAACAGTATATATATATATTTATTTATATGCTTAACAAATGAAACAGGTGGTCTAAAAAGTCTGCTAAGCACTGTTTAACAAGTTTCTACCAGTGATTGGCTACTCGTGAACGCTGGCTCACGAGCTACTAACCAGCTACAGTAATCCTCTGTTCACTTCATATCGCGGCATCGAGGTCCTGGACAAATGTTTTGGTGCTGCTGGAGATTCTTTGGTTAAAGAATCCTGCTCCTCTGTGTCTGATCTCCTGTTATGAACCCTCTGTTCTGTCTGAGCTTTAACACCCCTGTACATAAGTCAGGAGTTTGTTCTGGAGGGTGATTCTTTTTGGGTGTCACAGGAGATATTGTACTTGTTTAAATAAACTTTTTTATATACCAATGAGACAGCAGAGAATTTCTTCATCATCTTCACATCGTCGCTACTCAATAAACAACAGCATCCTTCCATGCCACTCGTGTTCACTGCAGATGAAGCTCAACTGTATTTACTATGAGGACAAACAAAGCAAATCAGAGTCAAACATTTTTACTGGACACCTCAGGAACAGAGTACCTGACCCCACTGTCACTCTCTGTGTAACTCACACATAAGACAAGTTTCTAGGACGTCCTTCCTGCGCAATCTTATTTAATATAATAATAATAAATTTTATTTGTATAGCACCTTTAAGAAGAGACTTCACAAAGTGCTTTTACATAATAAAGAAATACAACACTCAGTGAGACAAGGTAACAGGAAAACAACACGTATAAAAAGTGCAGGCAAACACTCAAAATAATAAAAACAATAGAAATGAAAAAGAACAGGCTGGCTCACTATTGGAGGTGTATTAAAATAAAACTGGTGAAACTGATTAGAAAGACGACATCACAGAGAGGAATTAAGATAAAAGCTGAAGATAAAAGTAGATCAAGAAAGAGAGAAGTTCAGCAGGCAGTACTGATATAAAAGGGAAAAGAAAAAATCTAAAAGAGAAATAAAAGAGAACATCACTCAAAAGCGAGTCTATAAAAGTGGGTTTTAAGAAGTGATTTCAAAGAAGATGCTGAA